CCCTGTGAGAGCGGTACCCCATCAGGACTCAGAAAATGGAGTCATCTGGGTCCTTGGGGTCTTCTAGAGGAGCTAGAAGAGAGAAGGTGATGGAGGCAGGAGGTAAGGGGGCAGTGACAAAGCTTTAGAACAAGGACATGAGGATAAAGATGAAAAGATGGGAAAGAAAGACAAAAAGGTGAAGGAGGAGAAGGGAAGCAGGGTGAAGAGCAGGAGGGAGAAACAGCCAAAGGTTTTGAGAAGCATTTGAAACGCCTTCTTAGGCTCCTGTGCTAGGCCTCACCCCTCAATCACTTTCCTGTGTGTGCTGAAGCTCCCGAAGATAAGACTCCACTAAGCACATATATGAGGGGGGTGAAGAAGGGACTGCTAACCTCTCTGCCAAACTGTGTCCTAACACCTGCCCTCTCCCCAGAGAACACCCTGTGGAGGTTTCCCCAGGAGATGGTCACCACCCTATCCAGGGCAGGAGGCAGTCTTCCATACTGGTTTAGACCATAAGCTTGAGCCATAAAAAGGAGAGAAGCACTGATTCACATGATGACATGGATGAACCTCAGAAACAGTGGGCTGAGTGAAAGAAGTCAGACACGGAAGGTCCCATAGCATATGATTCCATTTACATGAAATGTCCAGAACAGGCAAATCCACCGGAAAACACAATGGTGGTTGCCAGGGGCTGGAAGGAGAGGAGCGAGGGTGAGCGGCTATTTTATGGGTGTGGGGTCTTCTTTTGGGGAAATGAAAGTGTTTGGGAATGAGACAGAGGTGATGGCTGCACAACACTGTGAATGTACTAAATGCCACTGAATTGTTCGCTTTATTTGTTTGTTTGTTTATTTTAACTTTATTGGAGAACAGTGTTTTTCCCAGGACCCATCAGCTCCAAGTCAAGTTGTTGTCCTTCAATCTTAGTTGTGGAGGGCGCAAGCTCAGCTCCAAGTCCAGTCGCCGTTTTCAATCTAGTTGTGGGGGGCGCAACCCACCATAGTTGATGGGGGCACAGCCCACCATCCCATGTGGGAGTCGAACCAGCAACCTTGTTGTTAAGAGCTCGCACTCTAACCAACTGAGCTGTCTGACCGTCCACCGGCAGCTCAGCTCAAGTCGTTGTCTTCAATCTTTTGGGGTTGTCGGAAAAGGCGTGACTTATTTTTTCTGTATTTCATTGCAAAAATGCATCATGACTTTTCCAACAACCCAATAGTTGCGGAGGAAGCAGCTCACTAGCCCATGTGGGAATCGAACCGACAATCCTGTTGCTCAGAGCACATGCTCTAACCAACTGAGCCACGCAGCCACCCCCATTTTATTTATTTTTGTGTTTCCCCTTTTTCTTATAATTTGTTGAATTGTTCACGTTTAAATAGCTAATTTTATGTTAAGATTTTTTTTAAATTATCATCTTCCTGTGTGTGAACCCCAGCTCTGTCACTTACTAGCCGAGTAACCTGGGAAAAGCAACTTAACCTTGCTCAGCCTCCACTTCCCCATCTGTAACATGGGTCTGCTAACAGTTCCTTCTCAGGTGTGGGAGGAGTGGGAAAGGCACATGGGGCACTTGGAACAGGGCCCGGCAGGTAGAGAGAACTCCAGGCAGTCGTGCGTAATTACTTTCCCCTTCATTAAGTACCCTCCACTTACACTGTGTTCTCTGGAACGGTGTCTTGCTGAATAACACCCTGATCCCTGGGTGCTCCAAAAAACAGATCCCTTCAATCTGTCTCAAGAACACCACCATGTGGTCTGACTCCTTCTTGTCCCTGCCTAGTGCTGGTGTGGGCCGCACGGGCACCCTCATTGCCTTGGACGTCCTGCTGCGGCAGCTGGAATGTGAGGGTTTCGTGGGGCTCTTCAGCTACGTGAAGAAGATGCGGGAAAGCCGGCCGCTGATGGTGCAGACTGAGGTGACTGGATCCTGAGGGGACAGGGCTGATGGGGATGGGGCTGCAGAGGAAAGCAGGCCAAAGCTCACTCCTCCCCTTGTCACCTTCTTAGGCCCAGTATGTGTTCCTGCACCAGTGCATCCTGCGGTTTCTCCAGCAGTCATCCCTAGCACCAGCCAAGGAAGAGGCCATATATGAGAACCTGGTCTTTGAGAATATGACCGCCACCCAGGCCCACTAGGAGAAGCTAAGCGTTGGGGCACTGAGACCCCAGCACAGTTAGACTTGAACTCTGGATCCAGACTTCAGCCCAGGTTCCTGGACCCCTGGGGGAGCAGAGTGCTGGGGCCCCAGATTCCTGGGTCCTGCAAGAGGAGGCGCTGACTAGACTGTTTTCCTCGGGGAGAGAGGTCAGGTGGGAGCCAGGATCCTCGTTCTTTGAAGGCAGGGAGGGGGTGGGGGCTAGGATGTCCTAGTTCTTGGCAGGAGGAGGATGCTAGGGGTCCTGGCTGCAGGGTCATGAAAACAAGCTGGGTTCTAAAGAAGGAATGAGGGCCTGGGATTCTGGCTACCCAAGTAGCAAGGGCAGGCAGAATCCTGGCCATCTTTTATTCCAAAATCCAAATCAGTCTTCTAGGCCTCAGGTTTCCCAGCACACACTGCCTGTACATATTTTTTCTTCTATCCCATAATTTATTAAATCGTTCTCCCTAGACACTTGCCCCAGTGGATTTCTGGGTCTGGAAATAATATTGGGGTGGGTTGCTGGAGATGGAATATTTAGGTACTGAGGCAAATGTCCTAGGGAGGAAACTAGAAGGGTCCACAATTTTGCACCTGAAAATTGTAGCTTTGGATGGAGTCTCCCAGAGAAGGTTAGAGGTACAGAGTTCCGTGTCCAGAGTCTGGGCAGTGTGGATGTGGTTCTATGGAGTGAGGAACATGGGGGCTTGCCAACTGGGCCTGGCGATAGGGGAACTTAGAGGGTGGGGTGATGTCTGCAGCTGATATGCTGGAGACTTTCACACGGAGTCCCTCGTCTGGATATCTGAATACTTGGGTCTCCGAAGAGGGTCTCCTGTGTCCTAGGACCATCCTGACACTCGGTTCTTTGGGCAGTACAGGAAGTGGGGAGGTGGGGGGCTGGATGCCAAATGGCTGGATTAGAAGGCAGAAAATCCTGGGAGACCAGGATGAATATCTGTGGGCGTTCTGGTGGTTCCTGGCTGCGGGCAGGACGAGGGGCGGGGTGGGTCTCTCCACTCACCCGGGACCGATCACGCACGCGCGCGCGCGCGCCCGGCTCCGCCCAGCCGCGCCGCCCCGCTCCTCGATCAGCACCCAGGACAGCGCCACACGCCCGCGTCAGTGGCAGGGCCATCGCCTCGGTGTCTCCTGGGAGGGTCCTGTCCANATAAATGAACTCATAGATACAGAGAATAAAATAAATAAGTTCTGGGGTTGTAAACAACAACAACAACAAAAACACCTTTTCTTTTATCAGAAAAGCACAGGATTAAAAAAGGTTAACATCTTTGTTCCCCCCTCTCCCTCCGCCTAGCTCCCGAGGGGACATCCTGGCAGCTGATTTTGCTGACCATGTCAAGAAAAATGAGAAGGACAGCAACTATGGTTTTGCAGAGGAGTACCAGGTGGGGTGAGAAAGAAGGGGCTCAGCTGAACCGCATGCACCCACCAGGCCATTCCTCACCCTTTAGGATTAAACTAAAGCAGCAACATATATTTTTTGCTTATGTAAAAATTCTTAGGCATGACTCATTTTTTTGAATCATTGGAATCTTACACTATGACTGGTCCTTGGGTCACACCTTGGGTTTCCTTAGGGAAACACCTTGGTTTTCCCATGACACTCCCACTCTGTAGCCTACCCCTCCACTTCCCACCATCCCCCCAATTCTCCCAAATGCCCCACAGGGATGATGGCATACACGTTTCATTTCTGTGGGTGCTACGGAACTCCAGGGCATGAGGGTAAATGGGGGACACTGAAGAAGGCAAAGGGAGTGATGGGGTGTCCTTCAGGGAAGGTAGAGGAACTGTAATATTCGTGTACCCCTTCTCTGCTTCTGTCCCCAGCATTTGGCCCTGGAGAGCCACAGCCAGTCTCAAAGGGTGGCCTCAGCTCCAGAAAACAGCGCCAAGAACCGGTACAAAAATGTGCTACCCTGTGAGTCTTAAGCTTCTACTGACTTCATTCCCAGGCATGACTTTGTCAGCATCCTAGCCCTGGCCCACCCCTTATCCTGGGGAAGTGTGCGTCCCTCGCCCACTTTTCCCAGCTGAGGTTCTCCATCCTTCTCAGAGCTCCCAATGTCTGTCTGCACCTCAGTATGACTTCTGTCCCTGGGGCCCAGTCTCGCTCATCTCCATGCCTCTGTGGCCTCTGGGCCTCTTGCCCCTTACTCTGCATCACTAAAGCTGGCCTCTTACTCTAGATGACTGGTCCCGCGTGCCCCTGAAGCCCCTCAGTGGGGAGCCAGGCTCCGAATACATCAACGCCAGCTTCATGCCTGTAGGTTGTGGTTGGGAGCTGGGAGGGTGCTGAAGGAGCCTCAGAAGGGAAGGGCTGAAACGGTCCTGACATGCCTGCTTTTCTTGGCCAGGGTCTCTGGAGCCCCCAGGAGTTCATTGCGACCCAGGGTCCCCTGCCTCATACAGTGGGTGATTTCTGGCGCCTGGTGTGGGAGCAGCAGAGTCACACCCTGGTCATGCTGACCAACTGTGTGGAGTTCGGCCAGGTGAGAGCAGACCTGGGGGCTGACCCCTGAGCTCCGGCCCATGACACTGCCCCAGACCCTGATCTCAATGTAGGCCTTGACCCAGACCTCACTGACTCTCTCCCAGAAGACCCCAACCTCCTTCATCTCTCTCAGTCCATCCAGGGGTCCACATATGGGGTGAAGCTGATCCCAATCACCTTGAGATGGAGGGGTCCCCCCGGCTGGGATGAATCTACACCTGGCTGCCTGTGGGTCCTGCCTTGTCACCAGGGCAGGGGGTTCCCCAGCTCTGAACATGAAAACCACGATGCAGAGGGGCCTCAGGGCAGATTTTCTGGGCTTCCTGTTCTCTGACCCCGCAGTCCTCCCCCAGGTGAAGTGTGAACATTATTGGCCTCTAGACACCCAGCCCTGCACCTACGGGCACCTACAAGTGACCCTGGAAGGTGAGAAGGTGATGGAGAACTGGACTGTACGAGACCTGA